AGAAATAGCATTTGACAAAATTCAACACCCTTCCATGATAAGAACATTCAACAAAGTAGAACTTCTTCACCTGATAAAGAATATGTATGAAAAACCCATAGCTAACATCGTACTTAATGATCCTAAAGGCAAAGCTTTCCCCCTAGATCAGGAACAAGACAAGAATGTCGACTTTCACTATTTCTATTCAGCATTGTATTGAAAGTTCTACTCAGGGCAGTTAGGCAAGAAAATGCCACCCAGATTGGAAAGGAAGAATTCAAACTATCTCCATAGTCTGACATAATCTTGTCTATAAGATCTTAAGGAATCAGCTAAGAAAAACTATTGGGACTAAAAATCAGTTCAATTCAGCAAGGTTGCAGGATAAAAGATCAGTATACAAAAATAATTATATTTTTATATACTGGCAATGAACAATCAAAAATGAAATTAGGAAAATAATTCCATTTAAAATAATATGAAAAAGAATGAAATACTTAGAAAAAAATTAGCAAAAGATACATGAGACTTGTACACTGAAAACTACAAAACATTGTTGGGTGAAAATAAAAACCTAAATAAATGGAACAACATCCCGTGCTCATATATTGGATGATTTATGATTGTTAATACTCTCCAAATCTATCTACAGATTCCACAATATGTATTAAAATCTTAGTTTCCTTTTTTTGCAGAAATTGACAAAGTGATACCTAATTTCATATGGAAACTCAGAATAGTCACAACATTTTGGAAAAGAAGAGAAAAGTACCACAGTAATGAAGACCTTATGATACTGGTATAAAGGTAGCCATATAAATATATGAAATAGAATTGAGGTGAGTATATGAGAAACTAAGAAAACAAAGAATGACAGTAACTAAATCCATGAGACAAAAAGCTGTGCAGGTACTGAAAATTGAACAGAGTATTCATGGCTCAGCCATAAGTAGCATTTACTTAGCTATAATTATGTAAATGTTGGATATCGACCCAACCAATAATAGGAGAAAAGTGAAGCAGTGGCAGGGGGTCGGGTTGAGGTGGAGAATTAGAAATGTGTAAGTGTATCAGGAGGACCAAAAGTTGATATAGGTAAGGGAGAGCTAAATGTTCATTCTCTGAAACAGAAAATCATAGATCAATTAAAACATCTAAAATTGAAACATCAAGAACTCATAAATATCATTTATAGTTATGATTCTTTTAGATCGGTGTGCTCTAAACTGTGAGTTGCAATCATTTAATGTATTTGAGAGATGAATTTAATAGGTCACCACCAGCATTTATTACAACATGAATGGAAAACGTCATAGCCAAATTATGGAAAGAGCCCAAATGTCCATTAACTGATGAATGGATAAAGAAGATGTGAGATACATATGTATGTATGTATATATATATACATATATATATGTATATATATATATACTCCAATATATAAATATTCCACATCCAGAAGACCACACACACACACACACACACACACACACACACACTAATATTACTCAGCCATAAAGAAGAATGAAATCTTGCCATTTACAGTGATGTAGATGGAGGTAGAAAGTATTATGCTAAGCGAAATAAGTCAGTCAGAGAAAGACAAAAACCAATGATTTCACTCATATGTAGAATTTAAGAAACAAAACAGCTGAGCATAGAGGGGAAAAAGAGGCAAACCAGGAAAAAGACTCTTAACTGTACAGAACAAGCTGAGGGTTACTGGAGGGGAGGGGAGCAGAGGAGGTTAAATAGGGAATGGGTATTAAGGAGGACATTTGTGGTGATGAGAACTGGGTGTTGCATGTAAGTGATGAGTCACTAAATTCTACACCTGAGACTAATACTACACTGTGTGCTAACTAACTAGAAGTTAATAAAAACTTGAAAAAGAAAAAAAAAAAAAAACTAGGGTGTTTGCCTGAAGGGGGAACAAAAAGAGTTGCAGGGGCTCACAAATTCATCACCTCTCTTCAAAATTTCATGTTGTCTTCCCGTAATATTAAGTTGAATTAGATTTTCAGGATCTCAAGTTTCAGGAAAAACAGGGAAGGATATATTTCCTTATAGAAATCATTTGCTCTCCTGGGGCACCTGGGTGGTTCATTCGGTTAAGCATCTGCCTTTGGCTCAGGTTGTAACCTCAGGGTCCTGGGATTGAGTCCTGCTTTGGGCTCCCTGCTCACTGGGGAGCCTGTTTCTCCCTCTACTCCCCACTTGTGCTCTCTCTCGCTATCTCTGTCTTTCTCAAATAAATAAAGAAAATCTAAAAAAAAATCATTTGCCCTTCTAATTCAAAATGTATGCCATAGTGTCTAGTGTACTGTACATATTAAATGAATATTAATTTCCTCTTTCCCCTTGTCTTACCCAACAGTTCTAGGCTAGAAAATACAACTGGTGATATAATGAACTTAAGGTATATAGATATAGATATATAAATTTCATAGTTACTTCATCATTTTAAGTTCCCTTTTGCCATATGCATCTTTTACACATTCTGGTGGATAACTTACATTATTATATGATCCTAATTTTTAGGTGGGTTTTATTTTAAATTTCTTGGAAGTTTCTAAATTAAAAAAATTAATGGATAGAGAACACGTTAGATTTCCTAGTTGTATCACTTATGGTACGTTGTGTTTTATAAGAAATGTGTCCATTTTGTTAGGTTATCAAATTTATTGGTATGAGTAAATTATTCTTTTAATACCTAAAATAAAAGAAAACATCAAAGGGCATTGCACACATTAAAGGTAAATATTTTTCCTAAAATTTGTTTGAGTTATAACACACACACATATATCCTCTATCATGATGTAAAATGCATATCTTACTTCATGTCTCAATTAAAGCTGTTTGAAAATCAATACTTTAGACTGTGGGCATGTATTACTTTAATACAAGTATAAACCTATAGAGAAATATATGTGTGATAATTCATAAGTTTAATTTAATAAACACATATCAAATTTTGAACCACAGAGATTTTTTTTGTCTTTTGAAACCATTTATGCAACATCATTTAATTGTTTATGAATAAAACTCATTTCATTACTATATATATGGCAACTGCTCATGTTCTTTGGCTCTAAACGTTTATCAATTTTTGAAAATATTTATCTTTGTCATTGCATTTATGGAACCAGTTGCAAACTCCAATTAAGACATATTGAAAATAAAAACCAATGGCTACATATACTATTCTTATGTCTGTTTTACCAAATATATTTGTGTTGCGGGCCTGAGAAAAATTCATATGCAAAACACATAATTAACTAGTAACTTAAAGAAAAATGTTTATTATGAGTTTTAAAAATTACCAATAACAGGGACACCTGGGTGGCTCAGATGGTTAAGCACCTACCTTCAGCTAGGGTCATGATCCCAGGGTCTTGGGATTGAGTCCCTCATTGGAAAGCCTGCTTCTGCCTCTCCCTCTACTGTTCTACCTGCTTGTGCCCTCTCGCTTTCTCTGTCAAATAAATAAATAAAATTTAAAATAAAATAAAATAAAATAAAATAAAATTACCAATGATCTAAACTCTTTCAAAAGTTGCAAAGTACAGAGAAGGAAAATAAGGAGTAAAAAATTGTATTCAATCATGTAAATCCAAAATACCTATGGTTGGTATTTCAGTGTCTAGTATTCCATACTTACTTGTATGTTTATATAAATGAACATGTCCATAAATCTTTATGCAGTTTATGTAAGATATAAACAATTTAGAAAACAACAGAGAGGAAATGTGTCCAATATTTAAATTACAGTTTTGTAATTTATTTTCCAAGTGATAGTGCTTTTTGTATTGACTGCTTCCATCTTGTTATGTTTTATAACTTAAATGGTGGTGATTATGTTGAAAACTAGGATTCCCTCAATAAAATTTGCAAGATTGTGAGTAAGTATCACTGTGGCATTTTTTTTTTAAGATTTTATTTATTTGACAGAGAGAAGAAGAGAGCACCATGCAGGGGGAGAGGCAGAGGGAGAAACAGATTCCCCACTGAGCAGGCACCTGGACTCCGGGCTAGCTCCAGGAACTCTGTGATCGTGACCTGAGCCAAAGCAGACCCTAAACCGCCTGAGCCACCCAGGTGACCCTCACTGTGGCATTTAAAAGATTTTTTTCCTACCTTCTGTGTCCTATATATATATGAACATTTGTATTTTATTTTTTTAAAACAAAAAAGAAGGTTGGAACTAACTTACTATAGTTTCTTTCATTTACTGGATTAGCTACATCTCATACGTATTTTTCCTATGTCCGTAGGGCATATGTAAAAACGTTCTCATCTACTAGATCACGAAGATCTAATTCTTAAGTGTGAGAAATCTTATAGGGTATATTTTCTGAAAAGGGAAGGATTCAAACAACCTTAAAGATCCACGTGTTTATTTATTTTTTTTTAAAGATTTTATTCATTTATTTGACAGACAGAAATCACAAGTAGGCAGAGAGGCAGGCAGAGAGAGAGGAAGGGAAGCAGGCTCCCCGCTGAACAGAGAGCCAGACGCGGGGCTTGATCCCAGGACTCTGGGATCATGACCTGGGCCAAAGGCAGAGGCTTAACCCACCGAGCCACCCAGGCGCCCCACCACGTGTTTATTTTTTAAAAAAGACAGAAAACAGGACGCCTGGCTGGCTCAGTTAGTTGAGCGACTGCCTTTGGCTCAGGTCATGATCCTGGACTGCCAGGATCGAGTCCCAGAGCGGTCTTCCTGCTCAGCAGGGGGTCTGTTTCTCCTTCTGACCTTCTCCCTCTCATGCTTGCTCTCTCTCTTATGCTCTCTCTCTCAAATAAATAAATAAATCTTTGAAAAAAAGGCAGAAAACACCAACACTCAGCCATGCTTTTGACTTCCAGGATGGAAGGAAAGGGCGGGCAGGCAGGCCGGCAGGGTGGGGGGGAAGGGCAGCTGGAATGTCTGTGACACATAACTGGGGCCGTGTGCAAACCTTCTGTGACGTTGCTGAGGTCCCTAGAGAAAAACCGCCACTTGTTTCTAAACCGCCGTAAGGGGAGTCGTGTCGGAGCCTCCGGGGCAGTGGTGGGCCGGCTCACCCTAAGATCTCACCGCAGCCATGAGCGGTAACGAATGTTTCAAGTGTGGACGGTCTGGCCACTGGGCCCGGGGATGTCCTAGGGCAAGAGGGAGTCGAGGGCGTGGAGCCAGAGGCCGTGGTAGAGGGTCTCCGTGCAGTTCCACCAACCTGTCTGACATCTGCTACCGCTGTGGTGAGTCTGGCCATTATGCTAAGAACTGTGACCTTCTCGAGGACATCTGCTACAACTGTGGGAGAAGTGGCCACATCGCTAAAGACTGTATGGAGCCAAAGAGAGAGAGAGAGCAGTGCTGTTACACTTGTGGCCGACCAGGCCATCTGGCTCGTGACTGTGACCGTCAGGAAGAGCCGAAGTGCTACTCTTGTGGGGAATATGGCCATATTCAGAAAGACTGTACCCAAGTCAAGTGCTACCGGTGTGGTGAGATCGGCCACGTGGCCATCAACTGCAGCAAAGCAAGCGAAGTCAACTGCTACCGCTGTGGCGAGTCCGGGCATTTGGCCCGGGAATGCCCCATTGAGGCTACTGCTTAGTTTTCCCCCTTTGTCCCCTCCCCCCCCTTTTGCTGATTGATAATTGTATTATTTTCTCTGAAACTTCTTCACTGACCAAAAGTTGATAGATGGAGGCAACTCCCAGGCCAGTGAGCTTCATTTACCATGTTGAAGGAAGAAAGGGCTGGAAAAAAAAAATCTCAAAAGAAGTTGTTCACTTTTAAATGTCATTAATGTGTTTCTGCGCCACTGGTGAATCTGATTATTGGACAGTCATTCTAGACCTTAGACAATTTTTGGTTCTTTGTACTTTGATTTAACATTTCGTTAACTGCTACTGTGTGCCAGCCACCACTGGAGGAATTGGGGATATATCAGTGAACAAATCAGATCCATGTTGGGAACACAGGCCTAGAATCTATTAACAAATAACACACAGCATCAGTGAAGATAAATCGCTATAGAGAAAAAGAACACCAGGTGAAAGGATAGAATATTCTGGGGAGGGGACATGTAGTTCTGTCTTAGATACACAAAGTGCCCTGAGGAAGTGACATTTCCTCAGAGATTTGTTGATGAATAAAGCTGATTTTAAAAATGTCTATGGTCTTGTCAAAGTAATTTTAACTTTATTATATATTGACTGTTTTGAATTATCTGACCTCATTAACTTTTAAATAATGTTGGAAAGACATCTCTATCTGGCCCTGCATAGAGTGTACATTTTAATGAAAATAAACCAGAAAATGTGTATAATACATATAAGTAGCTTTGAGAGAGAGCAATGAGAAACGAACAAAAAAACCTTCGCAGCAAATGGCTGACATAAACACATGGCAAAGTTTGGACTTACATGTTTTTTAAAATCTAACAGAAGTATAAACATTAACATTAAACATTGATTGGGACTTTGACAATTTTAAAAATACCTATTTTCATAGATAGGATAATTTATATTTAGGAGTTTCTGAAAAAATGTGTTGTCACAGATATAAAGATGGTCAGTTTCAAATGCTGGAATCTATTTTTAAAGATCAAATCTGGAAAACAATGGAAGTTCTATAAAGTAGAAAAGGTACTTTTAAATTTTAAATAAAACTTGGGATGGGGGAGGTAACCATGATTGAAGTTGTAATGAAAAAATGATTTGGAAAATAACTCAATGTCAAACCTAGGATGTGATAGAATTTATATTAGAACAGATAGTGTAGAGGATAGAATTTTGGTCTATAAACCCATGATGCCAAAGAAATTGTAACTGATTTTGTAACTGAAATCACATTCTTTTATAAACCTCCATAAAACTTCATGTGTAATCCTTCATTCCCATCTAAAAGATCCCTTCAGTGCAGCTGAGTTTCAACTTCTGTGACCCTCTTGTGTTCCTAGAAATTGATTCTGTCATTGCGTGCTGCTGCAACAAGATAAACTCAGGTACACTCCTAGCCCCTAAGTAAAGCAATCTCAGTTCAATCTGCCAAGACACAACATGAAACCTCTACATCACTCTGAACCAAATTCTTGAGTCGCATCACAGTGCTAGGCTCCAGGAAAGGAGGAACACAGATCTCTGCATTTGAACCCCTCCGCAAACAATCTATAATTTCATTTCTCATGTCCTTAGGAGTTTGGCTCAGAGTTGGAGGGGGAAAATATGCTTTGTCCTTTTATAAAGAACACACTCAGCATTTAAGTCCTTTTTTTTTTTAAAAAAAGATTTTATTTATTTGACAGAGATCATAGGTAGGCAGAGAGAGAGGAAGGAAGCAGGCTCCCCGCTGAGCAGAGAGCCCAACGTGGGGCTGGATTCTTGGGGCTGGATCCTTGGGGCTTGATCCTTGGGGCTTGATCCCAGGACCCTGGGACCATGACCTGAGCCGAAGGCAGAGGCTTAACCCACTGAGCCACCCAGGTGCCCCAGCATTTAAGTCCTTTTTACATTCCTTCTAGGCGTCCCCCCAACCCCAGTTTAAGAGGAAAGGAAGCCTTATTTTGACATTAGTATCCCTGTTAGTAGTTATAAAATAGTAGTCCTTTTACTGAATCAGGTCCATACTATGTTTAGTCTGACCTGCACATTGTTTAACAATATTCATGAATTAGATGTCAACATTTAAAAATTGCAACATTTTCCATAGAAATTCTTACTTTTGGTCTCTCTGGAATGTAAAACAAAGATCAGGAAGCAGCAGTCACCCATTTCTGCATGGAAGCATTTAGATGAAGGTGAGTAGCATTTTCTCCCTATTAACAAGTCACACGTTCCCCCCTCTGACTCCAGCAACCACTGCTGACCATATTCTTGCAAAAACCCCAACATGCACTCTTTTCTCATTAACTTTACCTGCCAGGCCCCTCTAGTCACTTGAGTCTAAACCTTTGCTGTATGCTTGGGCATACAACTTGCTTAACTTGGGGTAAACAACTACATAATTCCCCAGAGAAGTTTAATTAAAGCTGTTTATATTCTCCTCAGTATTTGTAGATGCAAACAGGAAAGCACATTTTATCAATAAAGGCTAAAAAGGCATTTTATCAAATTCAAATTTCTAATTTAAAAACAAAATAACAAAACATCTCACAAATAACTTAAAATGGAGCTAATGAGGCTTCTTCCAAGAAGATTGAATAGATGCATTTTTACCTATTCCCATTCAGTGCAATAAAAACCTTGAACATTATAAAACAAACATAAAAAGACTCTGGAAGGTAGGGAGATAAAGATGGGTAAGGGCCTTTGGGTCAAAGGCAGTGAGTTTCCTGGGTTTTCTTTTTACCTCATATATCCTGGACTTGAAGCTGAAGAAATTTTAACAGGCACAGAAATAAAAACTCTCACTAGCCAGATGGCCAGGAGAGAGGCAGCCTAGAAAGATAGAAAACTTTTAGACAATAACTGCTTTACTTCAGCCAAACATCATAAGTAAAACTATGGCCCCATCCCCACCAGCAAAAGCCTAAGGGGGAGATTAGACTTACATCCTGATAAAGTTGCAACAAAGTGCCCCAGCACCTCAGTTGGAGTACTGTCCAGAGAAAGTCCAACAGTAATGAAGAGGCTTTTTTTAAAAAGATTTCAAAAATTGGTAATCTTCCAGCAGGACTAACCGAGAAAAAAAAAAGAGAGATAAATTACCAATATTGGGAATGAAATAGGGGATATCACTATCAAGCCTGTAGACATCAAAGAAATAATAAAGGACTATAATGAATAACTCTACACACATAAACTGGACAACTTAGATGAAATGGCCCGATTCTTTGAAAAACACAAGGTATCACAATTCACCCAATACAAAATGGATAATGTGACTAGCTCTGTAGCCATTAAGGAAATTGAACTAGTAATTAAATATTCCCTCTCAAAAAATCTCCAGGCCCATATGATTTTACTGTAAAATTTGATCAAATTTTATAAAAGAGTTCATACCAACTCACACAAGTAAAAAGCCTCAAGAAAAGCCTACTTTCACTAGCCAAAGGTACAGGAGGAAGGCAGCCTAGAAAGATAGAAAATAGAAGAGGAAGGAACATTTCTCAACACATTTCATAAAACTAGAATTACCTTAATAGAAAAATTAGACAATGACAGTACAAAAAAGAAAACTACAGATCAATATCCCTTATGAATATAAATGCAAAAATCCTTGATAAAATATTGGCAAATAAAATTCAGCAATATATTAAAAAGAATTGCATATCATAGCCAAATGAGATTTTTTCCAATAATGCAAGGCTGGTTTAATGTTAAAAAAATCAATAAATGTAAGCCAATGTATTAATAAGCTAAAGAAGAAAAACCACATAGTCATGTAAATTGATGCAGGAAAGGCATTTGATAAAATCCAACATTCATTCATGATATAAACTCTCAGAAAAATAAGGATAGAGGGAATTTCCTCAACATGATGAAGAACATCTACAAAAAAACTACTGTTAACATATTTAATAGTGAAAGACGGAATGCCTTTCTTTGGAGATCAGGAAAATGGAAAGAGTATTGGCTTTCACCACTTCTACTCAACATAGTGAGGGAAGTCCAAGTTAGTGCTATAAGGTAATAATGGGAAATGGAAGGCATACAAATTGGAGGGGAAGAACTAAAAGTCTTCCTATTAGCAGGTGACATGATTGTCTATACAGAAAAAACCCCTCCTAGAACTAATAATTTCAACAAGGTTGCAGGATAGAAGAAAAACACAAAAATCTGTTGTATTTTCACGTACTAGCAATGAATACTGAGACTAAAAATGCAACGCCAACTATAATCACTCAAAAAAGAAATATCTATGTGTCAATTTAATAAAATACATACAAAAATTGTATGCTGAAAGGTACAAAATGCTGATGAAGTAAATCAAAAGTTGAATAAATGGAAAGACAAGTTAGTGCAAATCTTATAAAAACCTCAGCAAGACTTTTTGTATATATAGATTATTCACTTACAGACAAGGCATGGGAAATAGAATAGCTAAAGCAATTTTGAAAAACAAAAATAAAGTGGGAGGAATTGGTCTATCCAATTTCAAGACTTATTTAATTTCCATAATAATCAAGACAGAATGGTATAGTGGAGGTATAGATATGTGTAGATCAATGTAACAGAATAGAAAACACAAAAGTAAATTCTTACAAATATGCCCAACTGAATTGTGATAAAGTTGTAAAATCAGTTTAGTGGAGTTAAAAAAAGAAATCTAACACAAAAATCAACTAAAAACAATCACAAACTTAATTGTGAAATGCAAATCACAAAACTTTTAGGGAAAAAAATCTTTGGGAGTTCCTAGGCACAACAACAAAAACACAACCAAAGAAAAAATTGTTAAATTGGACATCAAAAGATTTCAAAACTTTTGCTCCAAAATACCCAACTGACAGAATGAAAAGACAAGCCGCAGAGCTATAGAAAGTAAGTATAAACCACATATCTATGAAAGGACTACTATTTAGAATATATAAAACAACTCTCAAAACTCAACAGTTACAAAATTGAGCAATCCAATTACAAAATGGGTAAAACACATGATGAGACTTTCCACTAAAGAAAACATACAGATGTCAAATAAAAAATTTTTTAAAGATTTTCAACATCATTATCTACTAGGGAAATGCAAGATAAAGCCACAGTAAGATAT